ATGCGACTTCGAATTAAGGATATGTATAATCTCCTCACATGTGTCTGATGTACACCCCACGTAGGGCCAACTAAAACTTTTAACAAGTTTAACAATTTGGACGACTTTTGAACTATTTCATTTATGTGTTTATTCCAATTGAGACATTGGTCTAACCACATACCTAAGTATTTTATGCATGGGGACTTCGACAAATTATAACCGTTAACAGTAATACTGGGAATTATTCTTCTGTGCCCTCTACTAAACACACAATACTTCGATTTACTTATAGATATATTAAGCCCTATCTCATCTAATAATAAAATTAATATTTTTAATGCTTCTTCTATATCTACTTTGCATTGATTCAGATTCTTATTGCTCCCAAAAATAACAAAGTCATCAGCATATTGCGATATCATGACATTCTTAATTAATCTACATATCTTATATGTTACTATGTTAAATAATAAAGGCGAGATAGGGTCACCCTGAGATAGCCCATTAGATGCCCATCTCGTAATTATCCGCTGACCATCATCGTTTTTAACTGTTAAATGCCTCTCACTCAGGAAATTCCAGAAATAATTATAAATTTTAGCGCCTACTTTAATTTCGTCCAAAACTCTAATTAACGCATTGACCGAAACATTATTATAGGCACTTTCTATATCTAGGGCAACGGCCACGGTAGGCTTGTTCTCAGAGTAACCTAATTGTATCTGTGAAATTAAACGAGATAGACTATCTATACACGACTGCGACTTTCTAAAGCCCACTGTACATTCTGAAATAATTTTGTTTTTTTCAATATACCACTCCAGTCGCTTACCCAACATATCGTGAAATATTTTACACATACAGGATATAAGTGATAACGGGCGTAACTTTAATTCAGTATTTGGATTATTTTGTTTTTGTATTGTTATAATTTTGATATCTCGCCATTGAACAGGAATATAGCCAGAGAAAAAAATTAGGTTATATATTTTTAATATAAATGTTTTAACTTTATATGGTAAGTTGTAAATCATTGAGTAAGCAATGTTGTCATCGCCGGGAGTAGTATCTTTTGTTTTTTGGCAATGGTCAAATTCCTGCATAGTAAACATAATTTCTATTAAGTGATTTGTTGACATTACTACCGGCGCTTTACTAAGAACTGAATCAGGAGTAAGTGAACATAAAACTTCGACCAGTTTTTCAGACGGCACGTAGGGTTTCGCTTTCCTGTAACCTTTTAACCATCGCATTCTATTCCACAGGTCAGATACCGATGTGCCATTGTCAACAGAGGTACAGAATTTTTCCCAGTTTTGACTACGAGCTTTTGCAATAGCTCTTGAACATTTTTTGGATTGATTCTCAAATAGTGTAAGATTATCGGGGGTGGGATTTCTTCTAAAATTCCCTAATGCTTTTCTACGGTAAGCTACTTCTAACGAAAGGTCAGGGCTCCAGTATGGTTTTGGTTTAAATTTGTTAGTTGGATTGGTACATATTTTAAACAAGGGTATACTACTATCTGCTGCTTTGTTAAGTTCTTGTATAAAGTAATCGTATTTGTCTTGTATATATTGGGGATCATAATTTGTGTGAATTTCGTTATGTCTAAACGAGCCGTTAAGACTATTTCTGTACTTACTCCAGTCAGCTATTTTAAAATTACGTTTTATTATGTGTTTTATTATGTTCTGTTGGAAATTCATAGATATTTTAATGAGTAAATGGTCGCTCCCGAGATTCTCTTGAAGAGTCACCCATGAGAACATTGTAGCTATATTAGCCGACACAAGGGAAATATCCGGCGATGTTTGTCTTAATATCCCTTCAACTAGTTTAACTCTCGTAGCAGCTCCGTTGTTGAGCGTCATCATCCCATGTTCTAAAGCCGCGTCCCACACCTGTGTCCCTCGAGCGTCCGTTTTATAAGACCAATTTGTGTGGTGGCCATTAAAGTCGCCAGCCACTAACGAGTTATGTTTAAATTTTTCAAATATTTCCTCCCAATCAGATGTGTGTGTTTGTTTTGATGATGGACAATATATAGATACAATGTTTTGTAAATTGTTACAATTTTTCAATTTAACATGTAGTATTTCTATGTCAGTATTACGGATATTAATAGAACATGTATATGCTTTAATAGATTTGTGGCTTATGATTGCAACCCCACCATACCCATCTATTCTATCATGCCTGAACACATTGTATGAGTTAATGTTAATGACTTGTTCTCCATTCAACCAAGTCTCGCTGATAATGGCTATATGTATTTTTTCTTTAATTAGTATATCACCTAAATTTAATAACTTTGGTTTCAAACTCTGTGCGTTCCACTGTAGTATATTAATAACCAACTTTCTAGGCAATACACTATCCATTGAAAATTGAAAATAAATTTTGTAACATACCTTCATTCGTGAATAAACTACTTATAATTTGTTTTACCTCGTTGCATATTGTTTTAAAACACATTAAATTTTTTTCTTCTAAACTATTTGCTGACAAAATTATGTTTTTCACTTTCAAAAACAATTTAATCCAATCATAGTAGTTATCTCCTTTTCTATCCTGTTTTACTTTTCTGTAGTTGTTATCTTGAAGTTCTTCACTCGATGTCTCCCATTGATCCTCTAGGAAACTTGTACTCTTAGTTTGGCTGTCTGTATTTATAGTTATTCTTTTTTGTGGACCGTTACTACCCCAGTTACTTTGTTTTTGTTTTACTTGTTCCTCAATATTAGATATTTTCTCCGCTCGTTTTGAGTTCTTCGCCACTATGCTGCTGTATGTCTCACCATTCTCGATGACTGTACATGATGACGTATTCTGATCGCTATTAATTATGTTACAATTTTCTAGTTGACTCCTCCGCTTTTCCAGTTTGTTTGCAGTATATATTTGTAGCGCTTTCCGGTATGTAATGTTGTTCTTGGCCATAATCTTTCGAATGTCTTTTTCTCTTAAATATAATGGACATTGCCTGTCTAAAACAAAGTGCTGCCCTCCACAATTTAGACATTTATATTCATTTATATCACAATTGTCATGATCACCTCTGCATTTCGGGCATATTTTTTTTTTTAAAGGACAGTACTTTATATAATGTCCGAACTGCCAACATCCTGTACATTGAGTGACAGGGAACACAAATGCTTCAACTCGGAATCAACACCCAAATGCGTGCACATATTGTGGTAAGGACGATCCTTCAAAACATACTCTCACCGATTCACTATCTACCCAGTTATGAGTTGGGGAAATTCTTTTTAACCTTTTTACTGATAATATTTTCGTATTAGACTCCAAAATATCAAAAATATCTTTTTCATCTAAATCTACATCAACACCCTTGATGATACCAAACGACATTATGGATTCATTTGTTAAGTAACGTCTGTATCCCATTTCATCGATTTTTTTACATTTCAATAGTGACTCAGCATCCTCCTTTGTGTCAAATCGAATAATTACTCTAAATGGACTTTTATATTTTAATCTTAATATGTTTTTAATATTTTGGTCACGTAGTAATCTTGCAAATGCCATTTGTTTTGGCAAAGCATCGGCCGATGATACACATACTTCCCTGTATTTAAATTCTTCAACTTGTTTTTCATCTACCTCCATCCTTCCATCTTCATGTTGTCTTGATATTTCTTTGGAATTGCTTCGGATTAAACGTTTAGGCTTCCTTCTTGTAACAGTTATAAACTCTTCATCATTACTCTCTTCTTCTCTCTCCTTTCTCTTCTCAGTATTCTTTCTCGAAACTTCAACATTTCTCATTTCAGTATCCATCTCCTTTAACTCTTGTTCACACTGTCTTATTATTTCTGAATCACTATTTGACATTAGCTCTTCGTCATCACTCTCTTCAACCATTATTATTTTAATATGTACTCGCGGGTAGTATAATAAACACAGTTACTACAAGGCTGTTGAGGCAACGCGTACGCACGACACAACAGACCGCGCAAGACTGTGATTTTATATCTTAAAAATCCCGACTTTTTTTAATACCAATTCCTTAATCATTTCATTCTTTAAATTGTATATTATCATTTCTATATGCTTTTATATGTGTGCACCTAGGGCCAAAGTGTCTATGGGTAGTGGGCATTCCCCTTTCAACACTCCCTTTTTTCAATACTCCAATGATCAATTTTGCAAAAGGCTTTCACAGGAAAGAAGGAAAATACATGTTGGGAAAGTAATATTGCACTGGCAACACAACGACATAAAAGTAAAAAATCTCGAAATTGACGTATCGTGACAGCGTCGCTTCGCTTGTGTTATTGTTTTTGTTTCGTCGCTCGTGGTAATTTTGTTGAATTTCGATCTTTTGTGAAAGAATAGAAATCAAAATGAGCAAGTAAGTACAAATTTATGTCCCACACAGAGATTCCAAGTAAACAATATTAACAAGCTACCTAATAAATTAATGTAATCCTAGTTATTTAATTTTGTTTCACTCGTAGTGTAATAAACATGAACCATTAATAAATTCAATATAATTCATTTGCAGAGAGAGGAGTAATAACTTTAGCCGAGAAGAACTCAACAAATTGAAGGAGTTACTTGAAAAATATTCAATAATAATGAATAAAAAGTCAGACCATGCCAGTACGAAGCAGAAAGATGAAGCGTGGTGTCAACTAACGAATGAATTTAATTCTAATAATCTTATTTATCGAACGAAAAAACAATTAATTTATAAGTTCAACAACATGAAAAAAATGCCAGAAAGGTATGCTGCATGCAATGTTATTTACAAACTAAGTTCAGTAGTTTGTACTTATTGTTTCATTGCACTCTAACATAACTGTTGTCTATCTATACTATGGTGCAAATTATTTAATTTTACACATATACTAAGATTTGTATATTAAGGTGTGTAAGGTAAATTTGTGTTATTTTAGGAATTATCACAAGAAAAAAAAGAACGCCGCTGTACTGGTGGAGGGCCACCACCACCCAAACCTTCCGATACCAGTGAATGGCTGTGCAGCATAATGGGTGAATCAATAGTGGGTCTTCCATCCACACATGATTCAGATTTCATTTTTGGTACTTTTTTATTATATTTATTCTTTCTTGAATCTAGTTATTTTCATGTTATCAATAGTGTTGTGTATAAGTACATGTTTGTTTACAGATAATAATACTCCACAGTTGAATGGTGAAGCAGCTCAACCAAGTGTTGCTCTTTCAAATATTGAGAAGGAAATGTCTATGGTGTCGTATACAGATGGACACAATGACGGAGTTATCCATGATGTTGCTCATATTGTGCCAATTCATGATGTTCAAGGTTAGAAAATAATTTATGTCAATGGTAAAATGTATTATTTGTAAATATAATGTACATAGTCACTAAAATTAAAAAAAAAACAATAAAATATTGTCCACTTTGCAGTAATTTGAAAATGAAGTTTTCATATTTGATCATTCAAGTAACAGCATTAATTATCTGATCTGCATAGGCAGTTTGAAATATACATATTTTGTATTTACCTATTTCAGAAAATGAAGAGACTCGGGAGACTGTGAAATTTGACACGAGCACACCACATACAATGCTGCGAAAACCTCTTTCTAAACCATTAGGTTTGTATTATGTATGACCTTATCATATATTTTCTCAATGAAATCACAATCAGCTCTTATGATTGATTTCTATTAATTTTTTCAGAATCATCTTATAGGAAAAGAAAATTGAATTTTACTCCTCTCGAGACAAGAAAAAAAATCATTACAGTAGCTCACGAAAAAGAACTCTACTTAAAGAAGAAAGGAGTGAGAGATGAAAAAAATATTGGAGTTTGCTGAGGAGGAGCACAACAAAAATATGCAGCATAAGGAAGAAATGCATGCATTAGAAATAGCATTTAAAAATAAATTGCATAATCTCCTTCTAAAAAAAGCTGCAATAGAAGTAGAGATTGAGGAGGAAAAATTAAAAAAATTAAAAGCAGAAAATAAATAATAATAATTCAATAATGTATTTTCAATTATCAATTAAATATCCCAATTTTTTTATTTGGTCATTGAATGCACCTTTTATTACATACATCATGTATTTTGAACAGCGGGAATCCATATGAGTTAGTTATAATTTTACAAAATGATAAGTTAATGATTAGTTTTAGATAAAGTGTTAGTGTTAATTAAACGAACAAATGCAGTAAAGTTAAATTATATTTAAATTCATTTTATACAGTGGCTTCATTTGATAACCTAGCGAAATATTGTTGTATCAAATGGTTCCGATATGCTTGGTCTGATTGCCTTTGTGTTGCAATTTCTGCAATTGGCACAACTATATTCTGGTTATTCATTATAGTGGACTCTCGTGGGATGTTTTCATTGTTGTCAATACATATGTTATGCAATATGGCTGTTGCAACAATAATTGGTTGTATATTTTTAATATTAACTCGCAGTTTAGTACCAATTGCAGGAAACCTTCTTTTCCATACACCAAAGGTTCTTTCCACGACATTTCTCGTCCTTATCTGACTCTCATTGTACAGTCGTTCAGGTTGTGAGTGCGGGTCGGATAGTGGTGTCATTAAATATTTTTTTTAGAGCATATCCACGATCGCCTACTAAACAACAATTTCCAAAAACTCTCCGGTCAAACTTCTTCTTTACTTCACTGGCGTTGAAAATAGTACTGTCGTGCACTGAACCCGGCCATCTTGCTACTATATCTAAAATTCTCAATTTAGCATCAGCAATTACCTGAGTATTCATTGAGAAGAAATCTTTTCTATTACGATACAGTTCGGAATTGTTACCCCCTGGATTCAGCAATGGTATATGAGTACAATCTATAGCTCCTATAACACTAGGAAATTTTGCTATATTGAAAAATTCTGCTACTGTAGATCTGATTTCTTCTGTGTTCTGTGGCATTTTAATAACTGATCTAAATTTACAGCATATCAGTTTTGACACGTGGTGAATAATTCTGCATATAGTTGATTTATGCAATCCAAACAGATCTCCAGAACACTGCTGAATATTCCCAGTAGCGTAAAATCTTAACGTCAAAAGAATTTGATCTAGCGGACTCACGGCATGGTTTCTGTAAGGAAAAAATCATATATGTACCTACTTATTCATATTAAAGTAAATTCATATAAATAACAAGGGTGGTAGGTATTGCTTACCGATCTGTTGGCCTTTTCAAAGAATTCTTGAGTTCACTGAGTAACCAAAGAACGGTACTTTTAGACATTCTGTATCGTTCAAAGAAATCTACTTCATCCCAAAAGTCTAGCTGTAATATTCTATCCCGGAATGTTTTATGACGGCGATTTAATATATAATCTACAATAATATCATCGTCAGAAGAGCTATCAGAGTCTTCAAAATGTCTCACAATATTTAAATTCATTTTATTTCACTCACGTTTCCACAAACAACCTCGTACTTATATGTCAGTTACCTAATTGTCAAAGTTAACTAGTCAAAAACGCATAGTTAACTTTTATAACAAATGGTCAAATTTTTTAACTATGGTTAGCTTAACTATTCATCAAACAACACAATTTTGTAATTTTTAACAAATGGTCAGTTTAACTAACGCGTTTTAACTATTAGTATGTTTAACTACCGATCAAACAACGGGCCCTAAGGAGAGGCCTATGTCCAGCAGTGGACTAGTATAGGCTGTTGATGATGATACATATAGTGTCAACATCATTTTTTTTCTGTAAGAGTGTATTTAGACTCACACACAGTAAATCAAGTTTATTTATGAGCCCGTTAATATTCTGATGAATGACATTGATTGACTTATGCACGAAAAAAATTATCATCATTTTCCTTGTGAGTGTCAGTTGGTTCATTTATAATAATGTTACTACTGTCTGACAAAGATTCACTTACCTGGCTAATTTCTTCAAAATCATTTGTTTGCGTGGCCTTTTCTATTAAAACTTTATTTTATATGATTATGATACATGAAAATCAGTAGCTCGTAAATGATAATATTTAGTTAATATTTCTCTTAATAAATTTTGACATATATGGATAGGCAAAAATCTGGGATATGGTACCCTTGTGGAAAAACCCATGTCGATGTACTTTGCATTTTGAAATTTTGAACATAGCAGCTAACTTCATAGTTCAGTTTTATTTCGTTCAGGTATCTATTATAGGGAATTTCGCAAAACATTACATTCGTATTTCTATAAGAGCACAAGAAATGACTTACACATATACCAAAAATGGTCTGAGATCGGTCATTTGTACCACTACGATAGCGTTATCAATCTTTTTTTTGTCAAAAGATTCAATTGTGTACCCTCTGACATCAAACATCTTGTAATGTAGCGCCTGGTTTCCAGAATGAGGTGACGTGAAACCGTTCACCAATTAAAAGTTGTAGTGTAAGTTGCAAATAGCGTCCTTGGTCATCAGCAATAATAATAATTTTGTTTTTTGTTTCTATGCATTTATCGGGAATTTTATTTTTCAACTGTGATTTTGTGGGTACACCTTCAAATTTTTAGGCTATTTTTATTGTTTGTAATTTTGGTATCCTGCTTATCATCAGAGTGGGGATTTAGAAGTTGATTTTGTGAAATGCTTATCATATTCGTGGATTCTGTATTTGAGTGTATTGCAGTCGTATTTTTTGTAAGCGTTAAAATAAACTTTGTTTCCTTTTTTTAGAACTACTTGTCCTAGGCGTACAGTCCTCAGAGGTGATATTTTTAAATGTCTCAGTTACTTTTAGGCTTTTGTTTAGATCGGACTTTAATCTAAGATTCTCAATATTAAGATTTTCTATCTCTTCGTGAGCACTTGCTAATTGGTTCGTGAGCTCATTAATTTTTTCTTTCATTTCTTTAACCGTTTGATAGTCATCAAACGAGGTGTTCGGCAAACTCATCAGGGTAGTATCAAATGATTTTGAATTTCAAATTGAAAAAACGACACTCACGCAATGTTTTACAATGACAATTTATTTTCTTACGCTTTTGAACAAATGCATGTATTGTTTTGAGTCAATTTAGTCACTTTTAACCACTTTCCGTAATCCTCTTTCACAGACACAGTTTAAAGTAATTAACCAGTTCACTATGCACTTTGTTTATTGTTGCTTTAACGTTTAGAGTTACTTTTAGGGGTGGAAAACGATATCACTAAGAATTTGGCAAGCTGTTAATGCACTGATACTACTTTCACGATTTTCAATTGTTTAAATTACTAATAATAATTTAAAAAATACGGAACTATTGTTTCTAAAGGCCAGTGTTGCCATAGAAGGAGATCATTTAGCGGAAGCGAAAGAAGCGTTGGTTTTCTTAATCACAGCTCTCAATGGCAATTTTAAAATTCCAGTGCCATTCTTTTTGGTAGATGGCGTCACAGGAGCTCAACGAGCGGAGATATTGCACTTGCCCATGAGACAGGAATTAGAATTGTCGCATTAACATTCGACGGGTGTGCAGCAAATTTATCTATGACAAAGAATTTAGGTTGTTCTTTTCAGGAAGAAAATATTACTTTTGAGCATCATATTACCAAATTGCCTATTGTTGTCATACTAGACCCTTGTCACATGATAAAATTGATAAGAAATGCTTTTCAAATGTACGAAACGTTTGTCGATAAGGATGGTAACAAAGTAGTTTGGCAATATTTGGTTGAGTCGAAAAAAATACAAGAAAATGAAAAATTTCATTTATCTAAAACATTGAACAAAAAAACGAATAAATATCTACAATGTTTCATAAATGATCGCGTGATTTCGTAAAGACCTAGGAGGATTGTTACAATCTCGTAACAAACTAAGGCACATCAACTTTCAAAAAGTAAGTTATTTGTAGCCGACTTCCCAAAAAGGAGGTTATCAGTTCACCCATTTGTATGTATGTGTGTGTTATTATTGAAATTGCAAAATCACATTATCTAATATTAATTATACATAACTAGCTCTCCGCCCGCGGCTTCGCCCGCGTGGAATTCGGTTATATCGCGCCATGTATATTATCCCACAGGAACATAATATCGGGATAAAAAGTAGCCTATGTCCTTTCTCAAGGTCTAGACTATCTGTGTACCAAATTTCATTTTAATCCGTTCAGTAGTTTTGGCGTGAAAGCGCAACAGACAGACAGACAGACAGAGTTTCTTTCGCATTTATAATATTAGTAAGGATTTAAATGCGAAAGTATGGATTTTTGTTTGTTCTACTTTCACACCTAAACGGTTAAATGAATTTCGATGAAATATGAGAGGCAGATGGATCAAGCACTATACAATTTATCCTGGAAAAGTGTAAAGTTCCTAAGGGATATTCAAGAAACTGTTACAATCCCTAATCCACGCGTACGAAGTCGTGGGCAGAATGTAGTATTTACATATTACGGCATCTAAACAAAACAAACAAAATGTCACCAGTTATGTTATGTGCTTATGTTTATCCTCGCATATCTCAAAAATTTATTTAAAAATTATTAAATTAAAACATGTTAAAAGTTAGTGAAAGTGTGTACATGCATTTAAAAAAACGAATCGACTTCGAATTCGAATCGATTATAATTCTTAATTACTTCTATTTTTTATCGCTTCATCAAAAAAGTTCAGAAACTTCGTATTGTAAGTATTTAACTATCGATAACGAGCAACAAACATTGTCTGCGTTTTTTTTTCAGAAATCAATTTTATTAATTTTCATCGTAACGTTATAATTTACAACAAACTTATTTGTTTTTATTTATTTATTTATTTTTCTTATTTAGTTTGCGTTTAGAAACTTAATTAAAATTCAATACTAATTGCGCTATCTTACGTGTAGTAGCGATACTACATGCAAATGTTAGACAACATTCATTACACTTGCTTTTTGGATCGCCCGACCGAGCGGCCATGTTATCAGAGTTTTTAGAACCGAATAAATTATTTATAAAATACAGTCCACTTATTATTGAAGACTCTCAAACAACTAGTGAGGATGCCCTTCGGGATGAACTTCTCTATGACATAGGCCCCCATTCTTCTCTAATTCCTATGCAGGACGTATACTGTCAAAACTTAGTTAGAGTTAGAGTTAGAGTTAGAGTTTTCAGGTTTTATTCCCTTGCTAAAGGAAACATATGAAAAGATGCGTGGCGTAGATCCTCGCCTACATGAAAGACTACCTAAGAGTCCATGTTTACCCATGCGATGGCTACACATCTAAACTTAGAAATTTTGGAAAAACCCAGGCACGCCGGTCAGAACGTATTGAATTTGCACAAGTTGGCTCATTGCAACAAATAACAATAACCCTCTAAAAATACAATTTATGAAAGATTGAGATAGCAGTGTTGTAAAAATCTTAGTTATAATACTTTTTAAAATGTAAATGTCACTGTGTACTTAAAATTAAAAATTAAAAAGGCCAAGACATTTATATTGACATAAATTAATACATACAATCTTATTAGAAATAAGAATAAATGCAGTATAAAATTAATAATAATAATAATACTTTATTTTCATTATAAACAGAGTACATAGATAACTACTGTGACAATGTTGACGCAATCAACTGTACTCGCCGCCACGGTACGGCAGGGCCACTCTCTCGTGCTAGGAATAAACCTGTGTTACGAGTAGAGGGACGCCGCCATGGGAGCGTACTCACAGTCGTAACAGCTGGCACATGTTTACACTACATCAAGACTGGGTCCATATGTTACGCAAGCCTGTATTTCGGATCCAGTCATACTTAAAACAAGGATATGGATTTAAAGAAAAACGAAACATAAAAACGTATTCAAATATAGTTAAGAGAGCCATATCAGGTGTATTTAGTGTAATATGTTGAGATTGCATGTGCGTGTGTGTGTGTGTGTGCGTGTGTGCGTCTGTGTGTGTGCGTGTTTGCGTGTGCGTGTGTGTGAGAGAGAGTAAGCAAGTGTGTATATGAGTGAGTGTCTAAGCGTGGTTGTGTATACGAGTGTGTGTATGTTGAATGTGATCCTACCCATATATTTTCAGATAAGAGTTTTAAACAAATTTTCTATTTCCGCATAGTTTAAGGTGCGTAGCCATGTTTTGAGAGTGCGGTGAAATTTATGCTTATTCAGAGGATATATATTAAGAATTTTGTTGATTCTGTTATAAAGAAAACTGCTTACAACTTTATTGTGTCGTTTTGCCAGGGTTGTGTTGTGACGAATTGCGGGACATATTTTATTGAGTCGACGTGTATTTGTGTGAAGACCTGGATCGTATGTCAGTGTTGTTGCTGAGTGTTTTTTGGCAACAGTTTGGTGCACAAAGAGCTGCCTCACTGTCAGAACCGGAATATCTTTAAACAAGTTACTGGTTGGGTACCGAAAATTCTTCTTAGACATGACCTTGAGGACAGCCCTCTGGGCAATCTCCAGTGGAAGCATAGTTGTTTTTGCTGCACCACCCCAGGAGGTAATGCAGTAGGAGATTATTGATTGACCAAGTGCCTGGTAGGTCATGGTGAGCGTTTTAAGGTCTGCTGAACTTCGAAGAGTTTTAAATACATAGATCAGTTTCCTGACTCGTGATGTTAAATTATTAATATGTATTTTCCATTTTAGGAACTGATCTATGTAGACACCCAGATACTTAACCTGGGAAGTCCTGGAGATAGTTGCACAGTTGCAATTAATAGTGGGATCGATGCATGTGTGCAGTTTAATTTGATAAGTGTCTGTAGATGTTTTGTGTGCAAATGTCATGAAACAGGTTTTATTGGTGTTTAGTGTAAGGAGATTAGCTGTTAGCCAGGCCTGAACCTTTGTAAGAGCAGTTTCAGCGTGGTGTTTTGTTTCATCCCAGGTTGCACCTTTTATTAAGAGTACCGTATCATCAGCATACGCATAAATATTGCAATTTGTGGAATGGAGTTCACAGAGGTCATTAACATAGATGGAGAATAATGTTGGGCCTAAAATACTCCCCTGGGGAACGCCGTAGTCCAAAACTTGTTCAGAACTTATGTAGTTTCCAATTTTAACGGCTTGTGTCCTACCTACAAGGTAATCTGAAAACGGCTTAAGCGGCACTCCTCTTATGCCGATTTGTTCCAACTTTCTCACAAGAATGGGGACGGAGACGGTATCAAACGCCTTAGACAGGTCCAAGAAAATGGCAAGACATTTCCTTTTACCGTCCAAACCGTCGATTATATCATTTACTAGACTTAGTACAGCATCCTCAGCTGATATACCTTTCCTAAAGCCGAATTGGTTACGTGATATGATGTGTTTTGACTCTAAATAACTCGTCAGACGTTTGTTTAGAGCCTTTTCAATCACTTTCGACATTGCGGGCAGAACTGAAATTGGCCTATAATTATTGACAGTATCTCCGTCGCCACTCTTGTGAATAGGGTGTATTATAGCTTTCTTAAACATGTTCGGGAAGGTGCCGGTTGAAAATGAAAGCCGACAGACATGTGTGACAAGTGGGATATCTCAGCAGAATCCTGTATTATAGCAGCCGAGATACCATCTCGACCAACTGCGCAATCTCTGCGTAAAGATTTGATCAATAGCTCAACCTCACCGCTATCAACGTCGAGTAGCACAAATGAGTCACGTTGGGTGCTAATCGATGCCACCCGGCCATCAGGTGTGGTCACTAGTATGTGTGAGGTGTTTATTTTAGCTGCCAGATCCCGGCCCGCACTAACAAAGAAGTCATTGACTGCGTTTACAGACAGTGTTGGGTTCTCCTTGATACTCAAGAGAGTGTTAGCGATTGACGCTTTGGGTTGTGTGTTAGTTATTGTTTTTATAGCGTTCCACGTAGCCCAAACATTGTTTTGAGCTGTCTCCAATAGTTTTTGTTGGTAGCCAATTTTTAATTTCCTCAGTAATTTATTTATAAAGTTTCTATATCTTATGTACGATAACTTTAGTATAATATTATTTGGGTCCCTCTTTTGAACTTTATGCATCCGGTCACGGTTACGGATACATCGTATTAAGCCTGGAGTGATCCAAAGTTTAATGTTCCTTTTTGTACGTCCTACTTTATAAATTGCGGTATTGTTTTTAATTATATTAGAGACGCACGTTATTAAATAGTCTGTAGCAGAGTTTACGTCGTTTGTAAATAGAACCGGGGAGTAATCTGTGTTTTTAATCGTATTTTGTATTGCAGTATGATTAGTTTTATTACGAAATATGTCTGGTCTAGAGATAGTTTTCTTCAGTGAGAGTAAAAGAAGTGTGGGCAAGTGATCAGTAATATGAGTGTGGATAATTAGTGTAACTGATTGTAACTTTGATTTTAACAGAACATGGTCCAAACAGTTTTCATATCTGGTTGGAATATTGTGTGTGGAAATTAAACCGTGAGACGTTATGAGGTTAAGATATTCATGGGATCTTTTGTCAATGGTATTTGTTTTAATATCTATATTAATATCCCCGGTGATGCAAACATTTTTGTATGTTTT